AATTTCACAGGACTAGACCCTGTGGGGAAAAGGCAGGTTGCTCAGCAGTGAAGGAGAGAGAATGTGGAAGAATTCAGCCTTTGGTGTATGCTTACATCTACTTTGAACATCTTTTCTTAACAGCAAAGGAAGGAGCTGTGTGGATAAATCCCACAACCTCATCCTCAAAGAGATGCTGCTTCCTTTTCACCCTTTGGAAGACTTGGACACCACAGATAGCTCAGTTTAATCCTTTTGGAAGAAAACATTCCCAGCAGACAGTTCATTGCACTAAAAAAGGTCACAACTCTGAAACAGATTCAAGAAAATCGAGGGCTACAGGTAAAACTGACCAACCTACTGGAGAAGCAAGTTTCTAAAAGAACACAAAGGCTTGTATCAGACCAGTGCTAAAGAAATCATGGTCTGCTGTTTTAGAAGACCTTTGTTAAGCTTCATCTGAGAAGAAGGTATCTGGTGGTACCCAAGCTCGCATGGGTGGTTAAAGTTTTTTCAAATGTAAGCCCCCAAATCAAAAAAATGCAAGCAAGGTTGAGAATCTCTGTTTGTAACCTGTAGGAATCTAATGCCACTGAGGAGTTTTACTTGTTGCTGCTTATATTTCTGCCTTTTCACCATTTAACTACACCCTCAGCTTTCAAAACACTGAGTGAATAAGGTGTTTGCACAGACAATGCTCCCGTGTCCAGTGCCCAGCTTCCAGCTTGCCCATGCAGACTCGCTGTGCACTGCCATTAGCAGAGTTAGGCAGGTAATAATAGCAAATAAAAAGCCCATTTGATGAAGCACTGGCTCCTTCTCAAGTAAAGTTGAGTACCACTACAGCATGAATGACTCAATCATCTACTCGAGAGCTATTACTTGCAGCGATGAAGCAATGTTAATTGGATAACGGCCTGCTGCCAGCTAATATTGGCATGACCTACAATACCCCTGGCTGACAGCCGTGTCTCTCTCCATCACACCTTTTTTTGTAATCTGGATGGGAAGTGGAAACCATTTAAAAAGCCTCATAAGTGCCATTTAACTTCTTATCATAAATTAAAAACTTAATTAAGTGCCTTGTTAGAGGAAGGAAGACCAGTTTTTGTGATTAAATAAAACAAAACAACAGCTAGGGGTATGGAGTGAATAACCAACTTTACAGCTTCAAACTCAGTCCTTTGAAAGTACTAATTCTGAGTTGCATTTAGCAGCACCTGCTAGAGGAAAAGTGCATTAATTGCTGAAAAATACCTCAGGTAAAAGCAGGCAAGGTCCTAGTTGTTTGGCAAAACTGCAAATGAAGAAAAAAGCAGAGAAGTTAAGAGCTAATGGGGCCCTCTTTTATCAGCTGTAGGCAGCTGAAATACTCAATTTCTAACTTGTTCTGAGGGCTGATAGTTCACACACCATGGCCACATCTGAGCCCTTGCTATTGTGCAGCTGTTCTGTGCAGCTTGTCTACACACTGAAATACATTGCCTTAACAAAAGGTGTGGTACAAAATCAAATTACCAAGGCAAGCACAAAAGGCTTTATGGAAACTCTTCAATCAGTGCAGAATTAGCTCCATACTGACTTTGTTTAAGTTGATTAAGGAAAGGTTTGAACTGAGGCACGTTAAGACATGCTTGAACTAACCTGAAATGTTTAACACAAGGTTTTGCAGTGGTTTAAAATCCTCTAAATCCAACTAGTCCCAATTTTGTGTGTGTACAATGTCTCCCTACTGAAATGACTGGTGTGTTGTAAAGACTGCTCTTGCTTGTAACTGGATATAAACAAGAAATAATGTAAAAAACATCTGTTCCCTGTTTAGCTAGACAACAGTTAACAACGTCTGGATACCAGACTAACAAAATGACCCCAACAGGCTATGAAGTAAAAAAAAAAAAGTCTGCAGTTTAGACTTCAGAGGCAGATTTACTGCTTTGAATAATCAGAAATAAGTTCTTTTCTTTGATGTTCAACTTCCTCACACCAACATAACATGAATGTAAAAGCGTTATATATAAAGCTTTATCCAGCTCTAACATCAAACCTTTGAGAAATAATAGTAACAACCATGCCCTTTCTCCACAACATACTTCAGCAGTTTTCAAACTATGTTCAGATTTAAAATACAGTGTTTGACCTAAAAATAACTCTGTGAATTTATAAGCAATTTTCACCTTTGGAGAAGTTTTGAACAGTGAAGATTATATTTAAAAATTATTTTCAGTATCTGTTTTTCTGTAATATTATACAGCAACATAAATTGTCTCTAAGCATGAAAAATGTAGTCCCTCAAGGTATTAATTTTCAACTTCCGTTTGAAATTTTTCCACTGGAGGAATAACCCCCTACATGACAGAGTAAGTCCCTTTTCACAGGTACCTTAAGAAATAACTCACTGCTGCCAGAACTCTGCAGACCACAGACTGAAAACAGTAGCCTTGGGAAGTGTCCTTAGCTTGTGAACCAAAGATGACCCTGCTAACTTCTTTAAATGCAATATAACTAAGATGGTGTTTCCTGTGCTTTATCAGCTTTTAAAAACCAGGAGTGTTTCAGTTCCTCTTGCAGGGAGCTCTGACGCTGCTGGAGGCACTTCCCATATCTCTGCACAGGCACCCACCAAAGCCCTGAAGTGAGCAATGCCAGCAGCAGAGATATGCATCTTAACCAAGGAGTAACTGAGACACAGTGAGGTGCATCAGGCAGCTCTCCTTATCCCAAGTGACTAGCTTTTGTGAGGAAATGATTTAGCTGACCACCTCACACACAGCTATTCCAGTAAAGTAGTCAACAAGAAAATTAAGATTCAATGCATTTAGCGGCAATTAATTTGCATGTGGAAAATATCTGTACAAGTAAACATTGATAACTATAATTATCTCTTTTAATAGGCCAAAAGAGTTCTTTTCCAGGATGACAAAGTCAAAGGCCTGATGGTCTGCTACTAATAGAAGCAAGTAGCAAAGTAGCAATGGTGGTCTTAATAAGGCATAACAATTTCAGAGTTCTTGGAAAACCCTGAAGAACTAGATTCACTACTTTGACAACTCCATAAGCTACACTGGAGTCATAAGAGTGGTCAGTGCAAGCTTAAGCCACAAAATGTTTTTGATCTTTCATTCAGATATATTCTAAAACTCCAGTACTTCATTTATTCAAAGGGGATTTACTTAAATAGAAATAATTTATAGTTGAATTGGAGGATTTTTTTCTTAGACAGCATCTCATATAAAACACATATAAACATATAACACATAAAAATCTTCGTATTTTAAATCTTTAGTGTCATTAACAAAGGACTGGGTGACCAAGTGCAGGCACATCATGAGCCCTCCACTGGCCTGCAGCTCAGCACCTCACTGCTGCTGGAATTAGAAATCTTCTAATTTCCAATCTAATTTTACTGAAAGCCAATTGAGAAATTCCTCCTCACAGTTGTATCAGCTCCTCTGCCTAGCCAGATCTGCAGCACATCTCAGCTGTCACACCTGCAGTATGAACCTGCCATGGTCCTTTCTTCTCCTTCTTTAGGCCAGGCTCATTCTTCTGAACATCTCAGTCACTCTTCTATATGCTTATTTGAATTTCAATTACTTTTCTTTATGCAACAGGACCGGAATTATACACAGAGGTTTCACTAAGGCTTTGTAGAAGAGAACTGATAGTCTCCTGTGCACCCTTGGGCATGTTTTGTCACATCTCTGCTCCTACCCTTGCTATGTGGAGAGAAAGCCATGCGACACTGACTGAGACTTGATTCTTCCACTGGAAATTATTAGTGGACACTGCAGAATCAAAGTGTGCATCCTAGTGTGTCCTCTGCAATATCTCTAAACTCCTATGCAAAATGTCTGGGTTGAAGTGTCTTCATGAGTAATATTCAGTGTCAGGATTCATGAAGTCACAGCCAGTGACCTACTTCTAATGCACTCCAACTTGTGCTGTGACAACATTACAACGCTGCTGAAGTCTCTGGAGAACTAAACCAGAGGGGAAAAAATTATGTGTGACACTTTGGGACCTGTCATCATTTAAAAACACACCATGCCTCTTCAAGGGCACTAAGCAAATGATGGTGGAAAACCTTCTGTATGCCAGAGTACCTTCACACTGAATGACTGCTGTGCTGTGCCCTGGGTACATTGCCACCCTTCTCATGCCACCCTTCCCAGCTGGAGACACTGGGCAGGCAGTGCTGAGCAGGAGGTGATGGCAGCCCTGGCCATCAGGCATGCACCTCCCCTCTGTGGGCAGCAAAGCCACCAGCACGCCCTACAGTAGCTGTGCTGTCACAGCTCTACGGCTGTGAGGAAATTACAGTGGGGGTGGAAGCCAGCCAGTGAGATTCTGTGATAAAATAAAGTAAACTTTCCAGTGAGGTATGTGTTTTCTACGTCCCTAGGCTTCCTGCTGTGGGAGCCACGCTGCATGACGAAACCCCTGCTCTCTGACAGACTTGTGTTCATGGTTTCTTGGTGGAAAACACAGTTAAATCCCAAACTCTTTATGAGGGGAGCTGTGAGGAAGCTAGTTTGAATGAAGTGCAGGAGAGGGGAAAGAAGTGGAATAAAGATATGAGCTGCCAGAGATGGGTGGACAGCAATGAAACTCCCAACAACATGACAGCTCAAATGACTTTTCAACAATAACCTGCCATGTAGCTGTCACATCACTCTTTTCAAATTTCCTGTCTAGAAGAGCAGAGGAGTATCAGGGTCCTAAGACTGTCCTGAACGAGGCTATGGTAATGAAACGTTTGGGTACAATTCCTTCAGCAGCAGTGACAAAGGCGAGCTGAAGCATCTTAGAACTTAGACTGTCAGAAGGCTGGCATGACATGAACATGTCCATCCTTCAGTGATTTGCACCCCACCCAGACACAAAAAGCACATCCTGCTGGGGCAGCCACTGACGCCTGTGTCACCCTGTCTTTGGCCACTGCAGCAGACCACAGAGGTTTTCCTCACCAGGCAGGAGGAAGGGGCGGGTTGTCATGGAGGGGGCATGGTGACATACTGTACCTCTTCCGGCAGGCTGACCACCAGGTCATTTTCCGTCTGCCCAACCAAGGCCTGCAAGAAGTACTCGCTGCAGGCAGCCAGCACAGCCCGGTGGGCGCGGAACTCCTTCCCCTCCACGATCAGCGTCACGTCACAGAGAATGTCCTGCTTCCGCTGGTCATTTAAGCAGAGGAGAATATTGGTACAGTGCACCGTTGACTCATACACATACATGGGGGAGTCAGTCTTCTCATCCACAGACATGCCGTTCACACCCTGCAGGGCACAAGGGAGGAGAAAGCACAGACAAGGTGGTGAGGAGCAGCACGGTGCCTGGGTGAATGTGGCATGGTGAGATTCAGCCCAATATCCCGATACCTCAAGACCCCAGCCAAGCAGCCCATTAATGCTTAAATCCAAGTAAATTCCTAAGGAAACATACCATGATTTATACTGGTTTGATGCCACTAGATTTCAGCCTGTCATGCTTGGATTACCTACTTGCCCCACTGATTTCCCCCCTCAAAACCAAAATAGGGTTTAGACAGACTGCAAAGCACTTTTCTTCAACCAACTACTATGCATCTCCAATTTCCAATTTAGTAATGGCAATAACATGGGGACACTGGAAATTTTAGAAGATTTTAGAAAAAAAAAGCTAGAGTGACTGTTGGGTTTTCTAGTGGTGAAGAAAATGGCCTTGTGCTTGCTTCTGATATTTTCAGAACAAAGGGAAAAACCCCTCAAACCCCCAAGTTTATTCTCCAGCAGACAGGCAGCACTGCACAGTCACCCTGAAGACCTGGGCTCAAGTAAAAGGCAAGGTGGAACTGTGCCTGACGAAGACAAGCCACTAACTACAGCAACTTAATTTCTCTATCAGAATTTTAAGCCTCAAGAGGGAGAGAAACATATTTAGCGGCTCCAGAAGAAATTTGTTTCCATGTGTGGCTAAAGCAACACACCTTCATCAGTGGCTTAATGCCATTTACGGAAGAGTAGATCTTCTCAAATTCCAGACCCACAGATCCAAAAAATCCCTTGACCTGAATGGATGCCCAGCCCTAGGCAGCACATGGTGCCAAGGCTACTCCTGACTCCAGGTCTTCCCCTTCTGACAGCAGAGCAGAGGTTGGAATGATGTCAGACATCCATTACACACCCATTACTACTGTCTGAGTCAGGGAAATTCTCTGCCTGATGTTCTGCAGTTTCTGCCACAAGTAGAACTGGCAAAGCCTCTGTACATGGTGACTGGATTTGCAGTGGTGATGGTGGAGGGAAACAGCCCCCCAGTATCCCACACTGCACGAACCCCCTTTGCACTTGAACACATTGAAGTAATTAATTTACCCAAAACATCTTCGCCAGCATTAGACCGAATCCTCTTTGCATTATTTTCCCACTTCAACTTCTCTGAGTAGGAAGATGTAAAAGCCTGTGCTGTGACTGAACAGACTATCCCAAACCAAACCTGCTTGGTTTCAAGCTTACATGGGGAAAAAGATTATCTGTACGTATTACTCTATCTGCTGTTGAAGGGAAAGTTGTGCAAATGCACAAACCTGCAGTATTTTTAAGGAAATATTTTTCCTTATTGGGAACAACAACTGCCTTCTGAGAGGTAAAATTCAGAGGCATCAAGGGCTAAGGGTAAGATTTTGGAACAGTACTGCTGCACTGTAAATATCTGACTACAGTATCCAGTAGAAGCAAAATTCCTCCTCTGCTACTTTTTAATGTGGATTGTTGCAGCATTCTCTTTTGCTAGTGCAACATACAGGCACATCACTAGACACAACATGACTTCAAACTATTTCTCGTGCTGTGAGTTCAAACTAGGTTACCATTTTCCTACAGTGCCATTTGAAAGACACTAATCATCTAGACAAGAGTGGACTTAAGAGGACATGCTTGTTACTTATATTGACTAAAGTTCTCAATGGTAACTTCATCTTCCCACCTTTATATGAGAATTTTTAAGCCAGTGGCTATGATGACTCTGTACAAAATAGGTATTTTTGCCAACAGCGCAAAACTGTAGTATTACTGGAAGTCTTAATGGAATGCTTACAGATTCTCTTTTGCTGGTATTTTCAATCTTTATGCTGACTCATGCTACACTTCTGAGCACTCAGCTGAAATGCTTAAATGAACAGAAAAAATCCCACAACCAATCAACACAGATTAGCCCTTCAACAACTTAACATCTACAGAGAAGATACATAGCTGCTAATTGATCTGCATACAGGCAGGGGAGGGAGACACTTCAGGTGGTGAGTTATACCAGCTGGATTTCTTAACCAGAAAAAAAAAAATTCTCTGTATAAATTGAGCCTAATGAGAAGAATTGACAGCAATCATGTTATTAGCACTCTACCAAGGTAAAAGAGAAAATGACACTTAGCTCATCTCACTCACAGCTTTCTGTACAACTAAACTCTTATGCTAACGATAGCACTATAATGATGTTCTAAGTGGTCACTCTTGCGTGCTATGAAATGAAAGAGTTTACAAGAACAATCTAGTGGGAAAACCTGAGAGTTGCAAATGACGATGCAAAGGGGAAAGCAGTAGGCTTTTTTTCCCTTTATTTTCCAGGCATGTCTTATGCCTGTAATATCTCAGATGACGAAAAAAAGGACAAGAAACCCGAAACCTGGCAGATAATGAACAGAACATCAATTATATTTTCAGTGCCTTAGAAAAAACCCACCAAACCCCAGCTAGCCTGAAATTGCAATCCTCTCTTACAGTAATAGTGCAATTTGTGTGAATCAAACCCCGAATTACTTGGTTACTAATTAGTAATTTCTCACTTTTTAACTACAGCTCTCATCAAGTGTATTTTTTTTTAAATTGCTGCATGTGCTGTGAAGTGCTGAAAATACCATGGTGTATTTCCCCACTGGTGAGCAAGCCTGCCTTCTCTGCTAGGAAACCTGACCAGTGCAGTCCTGAGGTGCTGGGGCTGTCAGCTGTGCCATGTGCTCCAGAGGATCCCTACCTGCCCTCCCGGGAAGGACCTGCACCCAGCTGCTTGTACCATCATACTTTCCCAAGGCTACTGTTGTGGCTCCAGGGGCTTCCTGCAGGTGGATCCATGCCATTCGCCTTCCCACAGCCACTGAGAATCCACGTGGATGCCCTGCAATCTCAGCCTTCCACAGACTTCCCCCTGACCGTGCCCCTGACCGCTGTAGGAAGCACCCCGAGCCCTGCATTGTGCACAGGGAAACTGGGGCTGGGCTACGGCTCAGGACCACCTATTTATCAGCTTTTAATGTTTCAACACGAGTGATTTACAGTCTTTCCTTTTCCACGGTCTGCCATCCACCACATGACCTCCAGACATGAGGTGTTTCCTCTCCAAGAGGGCTTTATCCTGCAGGAAAGGTGCAAGATGGTGAAACCCTGTGAAGTATATTGTTCATTTTCACAAAGAAAGGGTTTAGAGGGCAAAGAGAAAAGGTCACTGTAGGACTTTGGCATGTAGTAGCATGAAAATTAGCAGAATTCTTGTTTTCCCCCTCTCCTTGGAATGAAAGGATCCAGGGATCTGGTATTATCTCTGAACTCTGAAGCAAGCTGGGCTGCAAGCCTTTTACACAGTGTTAATTCAAAGTGCATAATTTTTTGCTGAATTCAGTATTATGCTGAGTTTGCAGAACCTTATTCATGGAAATCATTGCTACACACTTGGTATTTCTTCAAACCGAAAAGAGAATGTCTTAGCAAGCCTTTCTCTGGCTCAAAAGAACATGCTGTGCATTTGTTTGCATATAGGTCACCATGCTGCCAGAAAAAGCCTCTATGAAACAAAAGTTTCCAGAAACTGGCACAAACTATTGTGGGCAAGGAAAGCACCATTGAAACTGAGCCAAAAAAGCTGCTGGTAAAGGCCAGCATCTGCAGTGAAGTGAACTGAAAGGTTGCTTACATGTTCCTTCCATGGTGATGGGCGGAAGATCCCAGCAAACCCTTCTGCATGGGCAGCGTGGAGGAAGCATACAAAACCTCAGGAGACCAAAAATGTTGTTCATGGAACATCCAGATCACTCTGGTTTGCAGCACATTGTCCGTACTGGCTGGCGCTCATCCAAAACTCTCCAGGAATGCATAAACAATGTTGACTGAGCTGCTACCAAAAATACATTACCTCTCACAAAAAAAGCAGCTCCTGCCTCACAAGACTGGAGCACAGGCAATGTGGTGTCTGTTTTTAAAGGGAAACGTGAGGGGAGAGAAAATCTTATCAAGACACACCAGAAAGTCCTGCATCAGAACTGGGCTGATTATGTGAAAAGGTAAATCTCTATCATGGCAGAGCTACAGAGCACTTAACCAGGCAAATTATCATAGTGACAAAGCAGCATGGCTTCTGCAAGGGGAAGTCATGTCTCCAATGGGCTCTATTAGAATTCCTGAAGTGTGTCAAATTAGCAGTGAGGAACACTAGTACGTGTAATTAGTGCTGACTTTTAGAAATTCTTTGACAAAACCTTTGGAAATGGCTGTTAGAGAAACTCAGTTGTCATAAGCTGAGAAGTTGCATCAGACTGGAAATCACTTTGGATAAACTATATTCAACGGAGGAGGAATGCAGAGACAGTTTTCAGCAGGTTAGCAGTGAAATTTCTCCAGAAACTGGCTTACATCTGGCTGTGATCATGCTGTTCAACATGCCCGAGCTTCTCTTATCTATGGAGCTACAGCAAAGTTGGGCACACTTAATTCTTGGGTGGCAGACTGCCTGGATGTACATACAGGGTCCTCACAGCAGCCTGACACTCCTCCTGCAAGGTCAATGACGATCGTGGGAAGTGCCAGACACTGGGAACAATTTGAAACAACAGAGGTTTAGACTGAATGTAAGGAAAAACTGAGGAACAGGTTGCCTGGAGAGGCTGTGATGCCTGACCATTGAAATGAACCAAAATAGTACCCCATCCTCACAGCAGGATGATTGTTTAGGTTTTCCTTGAGAGATTTCACAGTCACTGCAATAAACCACAAGGTACAGCTGATCACTGCTGCATGTTACTGGGAAAAGAATTTACTGCATATGTAAAAGGATTAGTTACTCCTAATAAAAATATCCAGAGCCACATTACTGAGAGTACAGGTTCACATGGGATGAATATTTACATGCTGCAGCATGTATATTCCACTGTCCAATATTCCACAGACAATATTCCACTGTACAACAACAAATGTGCTTGCATTATCCATCCTTCCTGACCTATCAACCACAGCAAAACCAAGAAACTAATTAT